TTTTTTTTTTTTTTTTTTTTTTTTTTTTTGTGATTAATAAACGCTTTAAAAGCAACATCGATTTTTAACTGAACAAACAAAACAGCAACACTGATAATGCTGTAAGAAAATGGTAATATAAATAAAAAGTTTTCTTTAAATAATATTTTTTGAAAATTTAAAAGTTGCTATATGACAGCCGTAAAATATTTTTGGCTTAAACTGAGAGCTGAGACGAGCTGCAGAACAGTTTTCAGATACCAAACAGATGAAACTTACAGAGTAACTAAAAGGTTTCTTTAACCTTTTTCAAACTTGTACGCTACTTTGACAGAAACAAAGCTGTCTTAAAATTGGTCTAATTTTTCACGCAAAAAAACAAAAAAAAAGGAAAATAAAAATATGCAAACAATAAATTAAACATTCAAAAGCCTTAAATCAATTGTTAATATAATGCAAAAAAAAAAAAAAAAACTATCTCATAAATTACGCAAATTTTAACAGCTGAAAGAGCAGATTTCTCAGAAATGATGAAAAATTGTTTCATTTGTTGTTTAGCTAAAATTTATTTGACAAAAGTGCAAGAATCTGTTCTGTTCAAATAGGCTTAGAAACCAGGATAAGGCCGGCGTTCTTACGGCCTGTTTAGGATACCGTACTAAAAATGCTCATATTAAGCGTTTCTAAAATCCGCCTAGTTTCAAAAGCAACAAAGGTATACATAGTACGTTTTCAGTAATTTAGAACAAACTTTATCATCATTTTATACTATAGCTTTTTTAAAAATTGTAGCTTGGATAGGTTTGGCTGTGTATACAAGTACTTCTGGAACACACAGTAGCCTATCTGAAAGCATTACGCGGTTAGGCCAATCTATTTTTGTTCCTCACTGCTTAAGATACACAGAATTAAGTTATTCTTTTATGGTGTTATCACCTGCAAAACTTTGTCAAATATTGTCAGCTAACGTCGTAAATGATATAAGCAGACTTCAGTTTGCTCTAAATTTTTAATGAAAATAGATGAGTAAATTAAAGTTTGATAGGTACTCAAAAGCTACAATAAGCGGTTGTTCAGATAAAATTTTTGTTTTGTTTTTTTGACATTTTACGGTAAAACAGTGAAATCTAAACAAATTACAGT